TATTTCTCGTTCTTGGCCAAACTGACTCATTTTTTTCTGAAGAAGGGTCTAGGCCCGAAACATCAGCTTTCCTGCTCCTCTGATGCTGCTTGGCCTGCTGTGTTCATCCAGCTCTGCACCTTGTTATCTTGACTTAGCATTTTGTTTGCTCTGCGCCACAAACAAATTCAAATGTTGTGCCTACTTCAGTTGTGCGTAACTTCCTACTCTCTACTTTTTCCTTTTCAGATAATAAACTAATTCCCTTCTGACTGCTTCCATTGAACCTGCTCAACCAGACTCTCAGGCAGTTAGTTATTCCAGATCCTCACCACTCATTTTTCCTCAGATCGCTATTGCCTCCTCACCAATATCTGTGCCTCTGCAAAAGAAGATGATGAAGACAAGGAGCTGGAGGGAGACTCTTATGAATAGGGAAAAAGGAGGAGGAACCAAGCGATTTGGGCTGAACAAAAGTTCAGGGGGATGGGTTTGAGGAGGACATTGTTGTACATTGGAGAACATGATAGAAATCACTTTGATTCCTATATATCGCATCCTTCCACCCCCACCCCCATAATTCCTATAGATCATCTATTGATTCCTGCAGATCACCATCATTGATTTCTATAGATCAGCCCCAGTGTTTCTTACAGCTGTCCCTCAGTAAGTAACAGCCACATGCAGCAAATGTTAGCCATGTGATCTCCAAAAACAAACAAAAGAAAAGGGAAGAGAATTCCAGAGTCTGTGGCCTTAGCAGCTGACGACACGGCCGCCAGTGGTGGGGCATTGAAATGGGAAAGGCTCAAGAGGCCAGAATGGAGGAGTGCAGAGATCTCGGGGATGGGGTTGGTTGTCGTGTTAGAGAAGATTACAGAGATAGGGAGGAGTGAAGCCATGGTGGGATTTGAAGAGAAGGATGAGAATCTTAAAAATGAGGTGTTGTCAGATTGGGAATTGTGAATAGGTCAGTGAACAAAAGGGTGATAAGAACTTGGTGTAAATTAGGATAGGGGCAGTGACATTTAAACTCACAATCTCTGCATTGTTAATCTAAGGGGCAAAAATGAATTGAAATGATCATTTCTCTTGGATGTTTTTGTATTAAACACAAAATCTAAGGGAAAACTGCTCTTCACCAGCATGACACAAGCTCATGGTGAATCAAAAGGCTGTTTTACACTAAAATCGACTGCGTTTCCCATTACCCTCACAGTGCCTGGGAAGATTGCTCTTGGTCATTTTCCAGTGTCCCTGCTGGAAACAGAGCATGTGTGATTGTCAAATGAGGAAAAAGAATAAATATGTATCTGATCCCCCATGTAAGGGAATAGCAGACTCACACTCACTGTAGAAAAGCCACTAGCTGAGGAGTCAGCCTCTTCAGCAAAGGAGGAGAGGGAGTTGGAGGAAATCATGTTTCCTTTTCCTGTTCTTCAAAAAAATTGCATCATACTTAACCAGAAAATACAGAGAGGATAGGCACCACAGACAGATCCTAACCATTACCCAAGGAACAACTACATAACTGTGAGAAGACATCCATTGCTTCATAGCATTGCTCAACACAGAGAAGGTTGGGCAGTGAAACCATCATCTGGAAATTGGTTGGGTCAGGGGAGCTTTGAGATATCATCAGATCTGAAACTGGTCAGTGGTGTGGAGCCTTCCATCAGAACCAACCTTTCTGAAGGTTTGGCTGTGGGTGATCGGTCCGGGTGAGACTGGGAAGAAGAGTGAGTGGCTCCAAGTGTGGTGAGAGCTTCGATCATTCATTGAGCCTCATGAACCACTGACTCATTCCTCAACAGGTGAAAGGCTGCTTGCATGTGAGCTGAGAGACAGGGATTCTACATGCTTGTTGCACCACTGTTCACACTGGGACATGGAAGTTAAACTGTTCAAGTGTCAAGTTTGCAATAAAGTTTTTATGGTCGCTTTGATTGTCTTCAGACACCAAACGATTCACATGGGAGAGAAACCCTTTGCAATAAAGCATTCATCCAATCCTCAGATCTTCTGAAGCATGTGAGGATTCACACAGGGGAGAAATCATTTACATGTGAGGTGTGTGACAAATCATTCTCAGACTCATCACTCTGCTGCACACACCATCACATTCATGTTAGGGAGCAGGGTGATTATCACACTCCCAAGAAAAGAGATGCTGAAGCACATCCCACACAATCCATCAAGGAATCAAGACTCGTCTGAGGAAGATAAACAAAAGTGCTGTACTGGCTAAACATGCGTGATAAGATGAAGGACCACATCAGCCAGTCCAGTGCTTGTAATAAACAGCAAGCTAAGCGAGATGAAGAGCTGCTCATGACTCATGACATCCCAGACATCCCATGGATGAAGCTTGGAATAGAGCTCTTCACTCTCACTGGAATGATTATATTGTCACAGTCACCTACTATTCAGGCAGCAGACAGCTGGAGGAGCTGAGGTCAGTTACTCCCGGTGAGATTGTAGAATGTCTGAAAGCACAGTTCAGTCGTCATTGATACTCCTGACATTGTGATCAGTGACAATGACCTTAATTCACAAGGGAAGAATTCAGACATTGCATCATTGGTCGAGAAGTTGAGCACCACACTTCATCTCCACAATATACCCAGTCAAATGGAAAGGATGAGGAAGTGTGAAAATTGCCAAAGGGATCATCAAAGTCTACCTGGTCCAGCATAAATGTCATTGCCAGAACTGAAGTTGGACAGCCAGAGTGCAGATGTTCAATGCACTCAAGAAAAGCCAGCTGTGTGCTAAATTGAGACTTGTGTCCAGAAGTTGGACACTGTGATCATACATGGTGAAAGCAAACTGCCACATCTGTTGTCAAAACAGCAGTCACCGACGTGCGGCTGGAGAAGCTGCTTTACTGCAGACAGCTAATGAGGCAGATCACCCACTGAGTTAGAAATGACCATTGATCCCAGAGGTTTTCCATCACCCAACAAATGCAATGGATCAGCAGCAACAGTTATCACAGTAACAATCCCTTCCTGACAGCACTGACCACCACCACAGACTGCAGATGGTCAAGAAGGCAGCGCACCACCAACTTCTCAAGGGATATTACTGATTCAGCAACAAATTTAGGCGCAATGAGGGATTTCCAAATCCTGGAATGAATTTGAAGAAGTATTTACATGGCCGCAACATTCCCCAGAGAGATAACGTGACCTTAGAAACCAGCCAACACCAGTTCAGCTGCCAGCAATTCTCACCCTTATGATTAGAATACCCGAAAAATTTAAAGATTATGTCTGTGCAATGTTTTTGTCCAGAGAAGAAATTGGAAAAGATGAGAAAGAACACACATCGTTTGATCATTTTCTTTATGCACTATGACTGTGGAATAAATTTGAAATGGGAGGAATGCAATTCTTTTTCTTTATGAACAAGCTGTAACAGCTGGGCATATCATTGTGATCTCTGATATCGATGTAACAAGGCTTCAATGGTTATGTTCATGCCCGGGAGTACTTGGAGAGGGCGCATGCAATGTCCACCAATACTCTCAATGTCTTTGGAGAGAAGTGGACACTGGAGAGGGTTCAGTGCTTTGTCTCCCTATCTAAATCCATTTTGTTTTAAAACAATTTCCATTCTCCCTGCATCTCCCTTACCTTTCGATGGTTTCCACTGCCAATACAGAATTAGCACGTAAATATCCAAGTGGCCACATGTGTGATTGACTGGCGGCGGTTAATAGAAGAAGGAAAATGTGTCACGATAATTTCATGATGGAAAGAACCCACTCTGTTGTATGCAAGAGCATTTTTGGATCTGAAATAAACAAAAAGCAGACCCAGAGATGGGACTGCATAACTGTCTGCTCCAAGCTGAGACGAACCGATGAAGGCTCCATATTAGTGTTCAGCAATAAATGATATTTCTTTTCAGTCAGGCTTGCTCAGTTATTACAAATGTAGTATGAATTATTCAGGCTATTCTGTGACCCTCCCCTATGTGCGTGTGCTAATCCCACCACTGTATGCCATCCCTGCCTTGGATGCTGTGGATCTTCCTCTTCCGATCTGCTGTCAAACAGTCTAGCTATTGGAATGTGGTCAGCCCGGTGGACATCACAGAATATAAATTCACTGATTGGGGCTGTTAATCTGGGCCAATCAGGGAGCCCTAGCTGACAGATATAAACAGGAGTGTCAGACATCATATTCACTCTGAAAGCTGGCTCTGAACTGCTGAGTCAGAGTCTACGTACCCTGCACGTGTCAATAAAGGATGACTTGGTGACAGGATACAGGCGTCCGTGGAGTTATTTCAAACACATCCAAGATTTCACATCCCACACTGATATTGTCAGTCTGAAAGCCTCAGAGGATGAAGAATGCTATTCCCACACCAGAAATCTGTCTCACATTCAGCAAGAGAACTGAGACAGCAGCTGCAATAAATGAGGTTTTATTCAGGTGGGACAATGACAAGTTTAAATCTCCACCTGATCTGCAGCTCAGTCACCTCCATTTCACCGGTCAGTTTCCCAAGTTTCAGGAAATTCATGTTGCTGCAGAAATATTTGGATTGACTGTGAGAGACGTCAATCAGAGAGCCCACCCACTCTGCCCATCATCTCCTCTTCCTCTTCCAGAGCTGGTTCACTTCCTATAGGGACTGAAAACCCAGTGAGGAGATGGTGAGTGAAGGAGCAGCTTTTATACAAATTGTATCCCATAATATCCACACCAATCTTCAGGCAGTCTGACTATCCTGTGGGCAATCAGGGGTGGAAATGTCCCTTATGCTGTGTGAGAAGATCCAGCTGAGAGTGCTGTTTACTCAATGCTTTGTGCTGAACTGTTTGTCTGGAGCTGTGCAGAATCATAGAATAGAATCCCTGCAGCGGGGAAGCAGGCCATTCGGCCCATCGAGTCCACACTGACTGTCTGAAGATCATCCTACCCAGATCCACCCTATCCCTGTAATTCTGTGTTTCCCACGGCCAATCAACCTAGCCTGCACATCTTTGGATTGTGGGAGGAAACCAGAGCACCCGGAGGAAAACATGGGGAAAATGTGCAAACTCCACTCGCCCGAGAATGGAATCAAACCCAGGTCCCTGGCACTGTGAGGCAGTAGTGCGAGCCACTGTGCCTTGTGTTCGATACGATATCAAATGTGTTTATTGGAGGCATTTCCCTCCTGATTTACGGTCTGATGATGGCTCATACCTGAACATGAGAAGGTGAGGTGTCATTATCTGGAAGGTGAGGAGTGTCTTACTAATTTTCCATTGTTGAGTTTGCTGTGTTTATTGGGAGCTTGTTGTTACCCTGAGGTCAGTTCTGTCTCTGTGTGTCAGGATATTGCCTGACGTTTCAAATCCTTCCAAGACCTTCCACCACCCCTTCTTTGTAATATTCTCATAAGAAAAGGAATAGTTCCATTTATATAGAACCTTCACAGCCACCAGATGACCAAAGTGATTTCTAGCCAATTAAATACTTTTCCAGTGTGCTGTCTGTTGTAATGTTGGAAATGTAACAGCTAATGTGAGCAGAGCAAGATCCCACAAACAGCAACATGATGGTGACCAGATATTCTGTCCTTTTTTCATGCTATTGATTGAGAGACTGTAAAGACTGGAATCTTTCAAAACTGATTTGAATTCCCAGTGGTCAACATATCACTCGACAAGATTCCAAGACTTAATCAAACTAATCCACTGAAAGTAAATTGGCTAAAGAGTACCAAGCAGCCATCTGCTTGAACAACAGAAAAAAAATCCCCCTTCAACTTTTAACATAGCCAAACACTCCACACCACTCTTGTACTTTCCGCCTTGCTCACTGCAGAACCATTTTTTGTAGACACTCATCCAACATCATATGCGGATTAATACAATTATTTCTCCATGTTTCACTGATTTTTTTTGCTTTGTGTGACTGTCGAAAGCCATTTCTCTGAATTTCCTGAGAGTTCTGAACCAACTGCTAACACTGAGGCTGCCTCCACTGATTCCTTCCCCGGCCTCACCAGGATGAATCTTCGAATCTTTAGGTTGTCCCAGTGCGTGTCTGTTTAACCAGAGACTGTGTTCCTTCCCATGTTCTGCCTGGCAGTCCACAGAAAGGACACCCTCTCCTCTCTGCTGACCACACTTGTGACATTTCTTGGTTTCTCTTTCTCTCATAAAAACATAGAACATGGGTTCAGGAGTAGGCCATTTGGCCCTTCGAGCCTGAACCACCATTAAATATGATCATGGCTGATTATGCAATTTCAGTATCCCACTTCTGCTTTCTCTCTATACCCCTTGGTCTCTTTAGCCACAAGGGCTACATTCAGCTTCCTCTTGAATATATCTAATGAACTGGTCCCAATAGCTTTCTGCATTAGAGAATTTCACAGGTTCACAACTCTGAATGATGAAATCCTTCCTCATCTCAGTCCTGAATGGCTTATCCCTTATTCTTAGACTGTGACCCCTAACTCCAGACTTCCCCAACATTGGGAACCTTCTTCCCACATTTAGCCTGTCCAGTCCCTTTCGGATTTTATATGTTTCTATGAGATCCCCCCTCATTCTTCTAAATTCTAGCTAGTATAAGCCCCGGTCAATCCAGTCTTTCCTCATATGTTACTCCTGCCATCCCAGGAATCAGTTTGGTGAACTTTCACTGGGCTCCCTGAATAGCAAGAATGCCCTTGCTCATATTCGGAGATCAAAACTGGACATAATACTCAAGGTGTGGCCTCACCAAAGCCCTGTATAACTGCTATCCTCAAATCCTCTCGCAATGAAGGCTAGCATACCATTATCTTTTCTCACTGCCTGCTGTATCTGCATGCCAACTTTCAGCAACTGTTCGACCATGACACCCAGGTCTCGTTGCACCTCACCTTTTCCTAAACTGCTACCATTCGGATAATAATCTTCCTTCCTGTCTTTTTCCACCAAAGTGGATAATCTCATCTTTATCCACATTATTTTGCATTTGTCAGGTATTTGCCACTTAGCCAGTCTGTTCAATTCACTCTGCATCCTTCTCATGCACACACTGCCAACCAGCTTTATATCATCTGCAAATTTGGAGATATTGCATTCAATTCCTTTGTTCAAATTATTAATATCTATTCTATACTCTGAAAAGGACCCGTTTATTTCAACTCTCTGCATCCTATCTGCCAACCAGTTCTCTATCCACATCAGTACATTACCTCTGATATCATGGGCTTTCACTTTGCTCACTTATAACTTTGCTTCACTCTTTTTGTTACAAATCCCAGAGTCAGGAAGTCTGTTCTGTCATTCCCAGCAATGCTACGTTTTTTTCTCGAAATGTATACTTTACATTCACTTAGGAAGTCCAAATTTATTGATGTGCTTCAGAAACCACCATGGCCTTTTGCTGGGTAGAATTTTCTCAGTTTCCTGGTATTCTGTTTTTTTTAATTCACAAAGATAATTTAAAAATAAGCTTAAAACCTCGGCATTCATAACAAGCTCCTGCCTTGAGCCTTTTCGACAATGTGGAGGATTGGAGTGATCTGGAGGTGGGGTTTTCCAGTGCCTCAGGAAGAGTGTAGGTTTGATCATCCACTTGATACATTTGCCCGAAGTCACTGTCACACTGTGTCTTGCCCTCATGTGCTGGCCTTCATGATGGTGTGAATGGCTGGTTGTCCACAATCATGAACAAAGTGTGGTAGGATGACAGAGCTTTGCTCTGATCTGTTGGTTGTAGGGCTGTTTTACTCTTGGGGTCTAGTTTGCATGAAATCTCCTGTACTGCATCCACTCAGCTCAAACCTGGACTCTACGGTGTCCTTAGTGCTCAGTGAATTCACAACTGACTTTGCACTGTCTTTCCATTTGGGATAGGGGCTCGGGTGGAGGAAAGAAAGGTGCCATATTGTCTGCTCCTGGCCACAATTCCGTATTCCTGAGGCAAACAGAGGATGCGTGACAGTCCAGTGAGGAAAAAGAAAGGCCTTTTATCTGAACACACCCTCCCCTTCCCCAGCCCCACCACACACACACACACACACACACACACACACTTCCCCTCTGCCCCCCAGAATACCAGATTGGCATTCACTGTGGAATAGTCTCTAACTGAGGAATCAACTCCTTCAGCACAGGAGGAGAGGGAGGAGAGGGAGTTGAGGAAATCATCTTCCTTTTTCCTGTTTTACAGAAGAATTGCTTCATACTACACCAGAGAATACAGAAAGGATAGACACCACAGATAGGATCCTGACCATCACTCAAATAGCAACTGCACAACTGTGGGAAGAATCCAGTCCCTTCACAGCAAGGCACAACACAGAGAAGGTTGAGCAGAGAAACCAACACCTGGAAATTGGTCGGGTCAGGGGAGTTTTGAGATATCTTCAGATCTGAAACTGGTCAGCGGTGTGGAGCCGTCCATCAGAACGAACCTTTCTGAAGTTTCGGTTGTGGGTGATCGGTCAGGGTGAGGCTGGGAAGAAGTGTGAGTGGTTCCAGTTGTGGTGACAGTTTCATTCATTCATCGAATGTCTTAAGCCACTGCCCATTTCTACAGGTGAGAGGATGTTCAAGTTTGAGGAAGGCTCCACAGGCAGATCAGATCTCTGAACACACAAAGTGCATCTATTGTTTCACTTGCAACACAGAGAAGCATGGAACCAAAACACTTCACATATGAGGTCTTCGACTTCTTCAGCCTTTTATCGGCACTCGTGAAACACCAATGGATTCACAGAGGGGAGAAACCGTTCATGTGTCAGGGCTGTGACAGGAGCTTTCCAGAATCCCCAACTTTGCTGAAACACTGGTGCGTCCACAGCAGGGAAAAGCCATTCACACGTGAGGTGTGTGACAAATCATTCTTGCAGTTATCAAGCCTCTGCGCACACCATCACGTTCACACTGGAGAGAAACCGTTCACGTACAAAGTGTGTGACAAGTCATTCTCCCAGTTAACAAACGTCCGTGTCCATCAATGCATTCACACAAGAGAGAAAGCATTCATATGATCCACAGTGTACAGATGATCTCAGGGTCGTTTTCCACTCTGCAATGGGTTTGCAAATGACTCTCAATCCCTTCAATTCACCATAAAAGGAAAATTGTCTGTCCTTGAATGCTACCAAGGCAAAAATTCATACCAACCCACATCTGTTCAGCCAAATATTGCACATCCCATATTTATTCAAGTAGACTCTGAAATATGTGGAACACTTCCAATACCTTGACAGTCATTTCTCTCAAAGGATCGACATTGATGAGGGATCCAGCACTGGATCAGCTGTGTCAGTTCAGCCTCCTATAAACAGCAGCAGCAAGAGTTTAACTGCAACAGTTTGAAGTGCAGAGAGTCAAGAGGGTGACTCAGCACGACCTTCATGTGGATAGTTAGAGAAGGGAAACAAATGCACAGGAAGAACATGAGTAAAAGTACTCTTGGGAAAAATAGTCTGGAAATTTCATATGAGGAAGTGGTTAAACCTGATTGACAGCTACAGAAACATTGTGGTGAATGGAGGGAGAAAGGACAGAGAGTTGGGAATTAGAAAGCACTGTCGAACTCACCTGGGGGAAGAGGGTCTTCCAGGAATGGAAACTGAATGGTCCATTGACTCACGTGATTACTGGATGTCGGTAACCATTGGTGGGTTTGTACGATGGCAAAAAGCCCCATTCTGTGTCACTAAAGTTCAGTGTCATTTCTAACCATTGGAATTGGCAGCCAGACAAAACCACAGGGATTTTAAACAAACTTCTTGTCTGTAGTATTCTAAGAGAGTTTTCCTTGATGTAATTCTGTGTGTTGTGTGTGTGTGTGTGCGCGTGCACATGCGTGTGCGCGTGTGTTAGTGAAGTGAGCCGGCGCTCAGGAGTGGGTACAGTTGGTGATGTGAATCATAAGCAGACCATCTTCAATTGATCCGTCTTCAACTAAAACCATGGACAATGTTTGTACTGTTCTGTCTAGAAGTAATTTTCAAATGGCTTGTTATTTTGATGGAAGCTGAACATTGTGTTGCTTGCTGTTTTTTCAATCTTCTGGATAGATTTTTCACCCATAATAAATCACATTTTTGTCACCACCCAAACCTGATCTGAGAGCCTGGTGTGTTCCTATTCAGTGTTCCCACCATAAAAATCCTGCACACAATCTATTGGTCAAAGTCACTGTGCTTGGATACTCTCTCCTTCAATGGGTTTATACTTTCCAATTCACAGGCAGCAGAATGTTTCTCCAAGATAGAAAGAAATATTTCTGTTTCTATATCTCCTTTCAGAAAATCATGTCATCCAAAGAACTGAGCATCTTTTCCATGCAAAACAGCAGAGGCAGCAAGTGATAGACAAAGTTAAGCGATCCCACAACCGACGGGTCAAATCTAAGCTCTGCAGTCCTGCCATATTCAGTAGTTATTGGGGGTGGATTAAACAACTAAACAACTCACTGGAGGAGGAAGCTCCATGAATATCCCCAACCTCAATGATGGCTGAGCCCCATCAGTATAAAAGAAACTGCTGAATCAGTTGCAACCATCTGAAATCAGAAGTGCCAAGTGGATAGTCCATTTTGGGCTACTCTTGATGTCCTCAACATAATTGATTCCATTCTTCAGCCAATTTGATGGATAAATGCAAGTTGTTGCATTTTGTTAAAACAAACAAGGGCAGGAATTATATAGTTAAAGGTATGATCCCAGGTAATGTTCTCAAACACAGAGACCTAGGGGTTCAGGTACATTATTCTTTGAAAGTTGCATCACAGGTAGACATTAAAAAGGCATTCAACAATTCATTGTTCAGACCGTTGAGTGTAAGAGTTGGGATATCGTGTTGGTGAGGCCACTTTTGGAGTACTGTGAACAGTTCTGCCTTGCTATAAGAAAGATATTATTATATTGGAACAGTGTACCGAAAAGATTTCCAGGATGTTGCTGGGATTGGATAGGCTGGATAGCTTGGCACCTTTTCACTGGAGCGTAGGAGGCTGAGGGGTGACCTTATAGAGTTTTATAAAATCATGAGGGGCGTGGATAAGGTGAATAGTCAAGGTCTTTACCCTAGTGGGGGGGGGGGGGGGTGCGGAGGGGGGAGCGGGCCTAGACGGGTGGTTCAAAGCTAGGAACATATCCTTAACGGGAGAGGAGAAAGATGTAAAAGGGACCTGAGGGGCAACTTATTCACACAGAGGGTGGTGCGTATTTGGAAGAACTGCCAGAGGAAGTGGTAGATGTGGGTACAGTTACAACATTTAAAAGACTTTGGACAGGTAAATGAACAGGAAAGGTTTAGAGGCTTATGAACCAAGTGCAAGTGGGTCTAGTTTACTTTGGGAAAAGTGGTCTGAATGGACTAGTTGGACTCAAGAATCTGTTTCCGTGCTGTATGACTCTAAGACTAAAAAGGCTATGGGTTCTGTTAATATTCAGGCAGTAGTACTGCTCCAGAAGAAGCCTTAACCCTAGACAAGATTTTCCAATACTGCCATGTATGCAGCAACATGATCAATTATGCATGTGTATCCTCTCCTCAAAAAAGGACAAATCCAACCTGACCATTTATTGTCCCATCAGTGTACTTGGAAGGAGTTATTGACATTGTTACCATGTAGCATTAACACAGCAACAACCTGTTCACCGACGTTCAGTTTAGGTTTTGTCGGGTTTTACTCAGCTCCTGACCTCATTAAAACCGGATCGACAAAAGAGCTGAACTCCAGACAAGAGGTCAGAGAGACAGCCTTCGGTACCAAGGCAGCATCTGACAAATTGCAGGGATGGTGTATCCCAAACAAAACTGAAATCAGTGGGAATCAGGGGGAAATCTCTCCTCTGATTGCAGTCATACTTGGCACAAGGGAAAATGACATAACAAGGTGTAGAGCTGGATGAACGCAGCAGGCCAAGCAGCATCAGAGGAGCAGGAAAGCTGACATTTTGGGCCTAGACCCTTCTTCAGAAATGATTTCTGAATAAATCCTGACCAACATCTTCAAAACACAGGAGTGAAGGAATACTCCGCAATTGTTCAAATGGGAATAGTTCCAGCAACACAACCTGAGTGATAAAGACAGTGATAGAGACAGTTCACACTACCGCTAGGAAGCAGAGAGGAGAAGACCTCAGAGAAAGTTTAAGAAAATGGTTTGTAGGAGTGAGGATGGGACAGATGGCAAGTGAGTTTAAGAAGACAGTTCGTAGTCAAGATAAGAAGTTGGGGCTTACATTTGCATTCCAGGATGATCCTGCAATGGAGAACAGTTTTAGCAGATCAGAACAGGATCCTGTCAATGCTTTATGTGGTCCAGCCAGATTTAACAGTGACTGTTAAACCAGTTTTCTATAGAATCCCTACAGTGTGGAAACAGGTGATTCGGCCCAGTGAATACACACCTAACCTCCAAACAGCATCCCACCTCGAACCATTCCCCTACCCTATCCCAGCAACCCTGCATTTCCCATGGCTAAACCACCTAACTTGCACCTCCCTGAACACTATGGGTAATTTAGCATAGCCAATTTACTTAATTTGCACCATAACCTTTCAAGTCTGTGTCCCTTGGGGTTAAGGGAATGGATATGAAGACTGTACCCTGTGAAAAAGGCAAGGTATGAGAGGGAATGGTTTTATTGTGGACTCGGCGATCACTTTTGGAGGTGACGGTGGGGTTGAGTAAATTGGTCACTACAGAAATGTCTTGCTGAACGGAGGATGAAAGGTTGAGACAGTTGGGATTCTGAGAGTATGGTTGCCAGTGAATTGGGGAATAGTTTTTTTGCAGGAAGGAATATACATGGTAGTAGACTGGAATGTTGCAGGGGAATATGGATACTGAGTAAACCATGGAAGTGATCAGAGTTAGCCTTCTCTGTGATTGATATGATGAAATGAGTGATGCCATGTGATACAGCAAGGTCAAGGAGATGACCAGGAATCTGGCTCTGGAAAATCCCTGAAACGGAATCAAGATAAGCAAGGGAACTTCGAGAAAGACAAATGTTCCTCATATACAGATGATCCTTTGCAGCACTAATTACTGACACACAAAAAGCATATCTCTATTCTGCCAGCGCATTCCTGAAATTGATCCCATCAGGTTGTATTTGAGAAGAATGAGCTGGACCTTAAAGGGCATCAATTTTGGCAGTGATTACATTGAGACAAAGTGTAAAGTTACAATCACCAAACTCCCCCCACCGCCCCCCCTCCCCCTTTCCTCAAAATCTTGGATGGCCCTAGTGGCTTAATGGATAAGGCACTTGCCCTCCTAAACCAGGGATTGTGGGTTCAAGTCCCAGCTGGAGCAGAATTTGGTCAAGAAATGAATCTCAAAGCTCCTTCTCTTGACGTTACCACACTGTGACAGCAAGGCATCTGAACTGATCAAACAATCTGGGCAGTTCCCATTCAGCCCCTTCTCATGCTGTCACTTGCTTTCCACTAACACAAACCAATGCTTAGGGAACAAGCAACTTGCCTAGATTTTTGCTGTTGTATCCTGTTCTCTCACTGTGGGTAAGCTCTCCCGATTAGGTGTGACATGTTATTATCCTTCAAAGTAGAGCTACTTGGAAGCGTTTTAAAATGAGATCAAAGGTATAGATAGAGTGGACAGCCAGAGACTTTTTTCCTCGGGTGGAGATAGCTATTATGAGAGGGCATAGTTTTAAAGTGAGTGGAGGTAAATATAAGGGAGACATCAGAGGGTAAGTTCTTTACTCAGAGAGTGGTAGGGGCGTGGAATGCATTGCTGGAGAGGGTAGAGGAGTTGGCCTCATTAGGGGCATTTAAGCGGCAATTAGATAGGGATATGGATAATATCATAAGGTAGGAGTGGAGGTTAGATCGACCTTAGGTTTAGGGTAAAAGTTCAGCACAACATCGTGGGCCAAAGGGCCTGTACTGTGCTGTACTGTTCTTTGTTCTATGTTCTATGTTCTTGAATTTGCAGACTCAGGGTCAGATCTGCAATTCAAAATGATCATTGGCTGATTCGCCAACTCAGTCTCCCTTTCTCGCTCCTGATATCCTTTGATCACTTTAGCCCAAAGAACAAAACTAACTCCTTCTTGAAAATATTCAATGTTTTAGCCTCAACCTCTTCCTGTGGCAGAGAATTCCAGAGGCTCACCACTCCTTGGGTGAAGAAATTTCTCCTCATCTCAGTCCTAAATAGTCTACTCTGTAACCTCAGACTGTGGCCTCTGCTTCTGGACTCCCCCATTATTGGAATATCCTTCCTATTTTTGCCCTGTCTAGTCCTCTTGGAACTTTATAGTTTTATGTATAGTTTTATAGAATTTTAAAGTTATGAGATCCTCCCTCATTCTTCCAAACTCCAATAAATATAGTCCTAATTAATTCAGTCAGTCTTCATAGGTCAGTCCTGCCATCTCAGGCGTTAGTCTGGTAAATTTTCGTTATACTTCCTCCATAGCCAAAAATCCTTCATTAGATAAGGAGACCAAAACTTCACTTAACAGTCCAGGTGTGCCCTCACCAAAGCCCTGTAAAATTGCAGCAAGACATCCCTGTCCCATTAAATGGTCCTCCTGTGCAGGCCAAAATTTCATTTGCTTTCTTCAGTATTGAATTTTGAATATCCTTTTATTGTCATGTTTACTCCATTGTAGGAATACAGTGATAAGCTTTTACAATGTCTGCCTTCTTATGGTGACATTTTAGGTACAAGTACCCAGGTACAATTCTTGGATGCAGCAGAGGAATAAAAGTAGTTGCTTAATTACAGAGTTGAAAAATAAGTTAAAAATAGGACATCATTAAAGGATTGACATTGCAGTAAGGTAGGAAATTTCAAGTGGACATTACATTGTAGCAGCTCAGTGCAGGGCCTCTGCACATGGTCTGACTGCCCGCGCCAGACCCCAGTCCCACAGCTGTCCCTGCTCTGCTCCAAGCCCCATTCGGCTCCGTACTGGCTTCAACTGCTCCAAGGACTGCCACCCAGCGCCCAGGACTTGCTGCCTGCACACTGCTTGGTGTTACTTGCACACAGCACAAACGCTGTACCAGAGCTTGCTGCTCGCACTGTTCCAATGGTTGCTGCCCACACGCTATACCAGGGCTCACT